TTAAAATTCTATACTATTTTTTTTTTTTTGGAGAAAGTTCATTTATCGAGGAATGACGGGAAAAAATTGGTGCGTGTAAAGTTCATTTTTTGAAATTAAAAAGTACTTTTGCTTATGAAAAGAAATAATATTGGATCTAATTGCACTGCTAGGAGTCGTCGTTTCACGCGCCTGACTTTATTGTTGATGAGGCCCAATATTAATTTGGACCTCTAAATTAAGGGCCTAGGGAGATTTGCACATCATTTCAGGATGCGAGGCAAAGATCACTTTTAGCCCGCAGCCAAAATTATTTATATTCATAATCATAAAAGTGTATAAAATTTATATATTTATTGTATTATATATATATATATATATATATATTCGATATTATTTTAAGAGAAACTATATATTGTCATTTTTCCATGTTCGTAATTGTTTAAGTTTTTACAAGAATAGGTTGACGAGGCATAACTTGCTCAAAGTTACGTCGGGACGAGGAGTTCGTCCTGACGTAAATTTCAAAAAATTAGTTCAAATTTTTGCCTGCAAAACATTTAAAATCAGAGACAAAATCTAAAGAAGTCATCCACTGGGCCACTACGTTCTGTAGCTTAGGACCAATTTGAGGTCCATTTTATGGATTTAAGATCGGAATTCAGGGCCACTCCGCTCAAAATGAAGTTGGGCTAGACTTATTCTTTGGGCTTAATTTTCTGATCTTACTACTATCTTTATTGAAGCCGATCACCATAAATAGTGAAGTTGATAGACTGACAAGAACTTGTAGCCTGCTTTCCGGATGTGTATATAACTATATATTAAATCTTGAACAGCCTTAAGTGAAATTCTTGATTTCGCTACTAGCGATAAGTACATTTATATGTTACCTGAACTAGTTATTAAATTTTGAATGGTATCCCTGGCAATTAGTATTTGCTAAAAGATGTTAGATTTTGGAGTGAATCAAAAAATATTCCGAAGGAACAGTTTGTACATCTTCTAAAGGCGCTACTCAAGTAAGTGAGGTTTTACGCAACGCATTGGCAGCTGGATATGGAATTATGGATGCGATAAAGTTCTTTCCGTAGTTTGATTCGGTTTCGCGTTTGGAAATGCATATTATAGGTGTTTATCGGGCGGGCTGAACAGGAAAAACTCCAGCCCGTTCGGTTAGCGGACGGGCTGTTTAGCGGGCTGGGATAATGTGTTGGGGGCGGGTTGGGAAATTTCGGGTTTTTAGGGCCCGTTCGGGTTCGGGCGGATCGGGCTACTTTTTTTAAAATTAAATTTTATTTTTCTTATTAAATGTTATTGATACTTAAATATTTGCAAACTTGTAAGGCGTAGAATTAAACTTTGAAGTTTAAAGTTTTAAATTTGAAATTTGTATTTTAAAATTATAAAATTGAAATTAGAAAGTAAGTGGCTACAAAAAATTATTTAATAAGACCAATAGGCAAATTATTTATAAAATTGAACGAAAAAAAATAAACCTAAATTTTCAAGCATAATAAATTAATAATACTTCAAAATTCAAATTAATCTAACAAACTAAAACATTAAGCATAAATACATCTAATAATTTTAAAATAACACAAATTGTCTCAAATCAACTTAAAATACGAATTTCTGGAGTACGCTCAAGACAACTCTTGGTATGCCTCCTTAAAGAACATGTGCCACACTTTGGACAAAGATTTAAGACTAGACCACAGTTCTTGCACTTTACTTTCTGAGCTTCTTCATTTTCTTCTACCACCTCAAAGTGTTCCCAAACATATGAGCACACTCTAGAAGTACGGGGCATGATTTAACTTAAAGTCTTGAATTGAGAATTTAAGAACAATAATATCAAGAGAGAATTAGAGTACTAGCTAGAAAGAGAGTGAATTGTGAGAAAAAATAAAGAAGAAGGGGGCTATTTATAGGTTTTAAAAGGTTAAAAATGTAATTTTGTTAATTATTAGGGGTGGGAGGGCTATATTTTTAATGGGGGAGGCCGAAATGGCCATTTCTGCAAAATCTGTCGTTCCCCAACGGTCATTTCTTAATTTGACCGTTGGCAACGGTCCAAATATTTTTTAAAAAATAATCAGCAACGGTAAACGGGCTCATAACGGGCCGCAGCCTGTTAACAACCCATTAACGGGTCACGGGCTTAGCGGGTTCGGTGTACCGTTAACCAGAACATGAACGTCCACAACCCGCCCCCTACCAACCCGCCCAATAGTGAACAGTAGCGGGCTGACCCGGGTTGAAGCATGCTGAAAACGGGTCAGTCCGGCCCGATTAACAGGCTTAATGCATATGGTTTGTCATCTAGTTTTGCCCCACTTGCCATCACACCTTTAATCAATTCCTTGCAAAAATCATTAAATCATACATAATGACTAGAGAGAATCACTGATGACACCCAACCGGTAGCTTAACCGTTCGGTAAATTTAATCAAATCATGATGAGCCGTATAGTAATTGATTGACTGACTGACTGAGTCTAAATTTTATTTTTTTGAATTTTAATCTCCACTCCCATTTAGATTAGTGATCACTCTTCTGTTCTTTTTTTACCACTCTGGTGTCCATATATGTATTGAAGCCTGATTAATTCGGATTTAAGTCGCATAAGACTCATTAAAGAAGGAAGCACTTCCTTCCCAGAATTTATTCCGGAAGCTTTAATTTGATATCTTTGATTAAGGATGGAGGGATCATATTCATCTCATCTCAATTATTGGTGGTTGTATGCGTCGAAATCTAATCAAGAGAACCTTGCTCAAAGATAGATTACTAAGAGACGATTAGGCCGAGGTCGTGCTCGAGATGGAAGGAACCTATTGGCGAGCTGAGTAACCGGGGTCGAGGTCGAATACTCATGTCGCCCATAATGGCTAGTTTTGTAGCAAGATATTTTAGGAGAATATTCTATTCTCTGCACTTGTACTTTATGTTAGGTAAGGGATATGTCCCATATAAGTAGAAAGGTAGAGAAAAGAAAGTGGGCATGTAATATTCTATATGATAAAAACTCTCATGAAAAGTTGACTCTCAAGAAAAATACAAACATTGCCTTTCCATAAAGATTCGATTTGCTGTTTATCCCACATTTTCTCGTATCAGATCCGAGAAAGCTCTCTATATTCCCACGTTCATTTGTCTTACATCATTGTCAGAGAGAAGAATCATTCACCTCATTCAATATTTGGGTGAATCATTCTCTCCATTTACATTTAGTGTCAGTTAATGTATTTATTGCCTATTATTATTCTCATCTCATTCATATTAGTGTCATTTAATATTCATCACATTAAATAGGCTTCAACGCAACTCCACGTTATTTGTATAAACACGTTTCAGATCTTGAATTTATTATGTTTAAATAGGAGTTACCTATTATCCTCTTAATTAATTAGTTTAACAAAAGGTTTCACACTTTTTGGTCAAATTTTTCTAGTTAAATTTTTAGTTTCTTCTAGATCTAAAAAAAAATAACGCAAAAACCCTATATTTCCATGTGTGCAAAAATCTAATAAGGCAGGCAACAAAAAAGAAAAGAGGAAAGTGATAACCTACCTCACCACCAACCTCCTTCACACCATCAACAAAGCAAATGAAACGGAGGGCAAGGATGTAACACTAAACGCCTCTCTCAGGAGAAACAGCTCGCCCCTCCTCACGGTAGCATCACGACCTCGCATGGTAAAGGGGTCTCTACATCCACAATAGAAAAGGCACCACCGACAGTGAAAAATCTACTCGAGGCGTGGCTGGCGAATATGCTAACCAGTTTCCTCGACAAGCCCGCTCAAAGGTGGAATAGAGAGGAGGCAAGGATTTGCATTGCATCAGTAGCTGACGAGGGAGCACCCCCCCCTCCGTAACAGGTATTACTCACTATGCTAGTGATGTAGGTAACTACACCCTCATAGTTGTTTTGAATAAGATGGAGGAGATGGAAAACGAAAACAAAATGCTACGCAACTAAATGAAAGGACATCAAGAAAGGGTAGACAAAATACCGAATTATCGAAAACTTTTGCCAAAAAGGGACGTCGGTCGGTCGTGGAACATCCGTACAGTGACGAGGCTGCACCACACCACATACCCAAAACCTTCAAAATATCATCGTATTTAAAAATATATGATGGCACGACGTACCTTGAGGATCATGTGACCCACTATGTTACTGCAGTGAAAGGCAACGACCTCGCCAAAGAACAAGTGCCATCCATATTGCTAAAGAAGTTTAGTGAAATCCTAACCGAGGGAGGCGCTGACGTGGTACTCATAGTTACCTACGTGCTCCATAGAATCATTCGAGGAGATGGAAGACAAGTTCGTCACTGCCCATGCGGGGCTAAGAAAGCAGAGGCGAGGGTGAATGACATATTCACCATTAAGCAATCGCCTGGCGAGGAACTCAAAGACTTCTTTGCCCGATTCAACCGTGTAAGAATGAACCTTCTAAATGTATCTGAAGGAATGACGGTAGCCGCTTTTCAAAATGAGATAAGTAGAAGTGGATCGAAGGGACTAGAAAATTACTAAGCCGCATCATGAAATACCCTCCAACCACTTGGGACGTTATACACAACGTCTACTGTGTCGAGGTAAGAGCCGACGAGAAGGACCTCAATAGACCTACCCAACGGTTGACCTCGGTCCAAATGGAGTCCAGGAAGGATCGGAGAAATGACAACAGGAGAGACCTAGTGGGACCCCGACCCAATCGGCAGAGAAATTAGCCTTACGTCAGAGGTGCCCTCATGCCGCCTCCACGCCATGACGAAGGCCCATCCAGACCACGAACAGAAACCCATCGAAGTGAGAGAGGTATGCCCGCCTTTGTGTTCTGCTCACAATTTCTATGTTTCCCCTTCAAAAATAGTCTACGCACTGGAGAAGCTCGGCCCAAAAGTAAATTGGCCGCAAAAGATGAGATCTAACCCGAGCACCAGAAAGTCAAATGCCCTCTGCGAATTCCACCAGGAACGGGGTCACAAAACCGAGGACTGTATTGCCCTTAGACAAAAGGTCGTAAACATGCTTCACCAAGGGCACTTGAAAGAGCTGATGAGTGATCAGGGAAGAGCCAACTTCGCCCGAGGACGTAAACAGCACCATGGAACACCCAAACCACCTTCCCTGGCTCGTACCATTCAAATAATCATTGGAGGAGGCAACGACGCATCAATCAACAACATAAAGTTCACCACCGCCCACAAACTCAAACGATCAATCACTCATGAACGGTATGACAAACGCGAAGAGAGTATCATCTTCGATAAGTCGAATACCCACTATTTGGTTTTTCCTCATTATGACACTCTTGTCATTACTTTGTGCATCTTAGACACTGATGTAAAACGTATTATAGTTGATAATGGGAGCGACGCGTGCATCATGCACCCTTGAGTTCTCGCACAAATGAAGCTCGAGGATAAGATAGTACCACGATACATCACACTGACGAGTTTTAATAATGCTGTTGAGTGGACATCCGGAGAAATTACACTGCCCGTCCTAGCTGGCGGTGTCACTCTGGAGACCACATTCCACATCATGGACAGGGATACGGCGTATAATGCCATCATAGGTCGACCTTGGATACATATAATGAAAGTCGTCCCCTCGAGCCTGTATCAAGTCATCAAATTTCCCACCCACTGGGGAGTATTAAGCATCCAAGGAGAGCAGCGCTCTACCCGAGAGTGCTATTGCATCGCCCAAGATTGCACATACACCCAACAACTGAAGGGCAGAGCCGAGGAGGCATAACAATTAATAAAGTCAGGGTCGCACAGTGATGAAGGGAAAGATGTTACCAAAGAACCCAAAATCTTAGAAGCTATAGGATCAACCATAGAGGATCTCGAACCCCGTCCATCTCGATAATAACGACCACAACAAGATAGCTTTTATCGGCCACAAGCTCACTGCCCGTGTAAATTCTGCTAGTTCTTAATAAATAACGTAGACCTATTTGCTTTTTCCCATGCAGATATGCAGGGCATCCCGAAGGAGATAGCAACACATAAATTGAATGTCGACCCATTCCACCCCCCAGTGCGACAAGTGAAAATAATTCAATGCCGCGATAAATGATGTTGTCCGCGAGGAGGTGAAAAAATTGCTTGAGAATAGCTCCACTAGAGTGTCAAAATATCCCCAATAGATCGCAAATGTGGTCATGGTAAAGAAGAAAAATGAGAAATGGCAGATGTGCGCAGACTTCACAGATCTGAATAAAGCATGCATGAAGGACTCATTCCCACTACCCTACATTGACCAGCTCATTGACGCAATGGACAGGGACGAGCTATTAAGTTTCCTAGACGCCTATTAGGGATACAACCAAATCCTTATGGAGGAAGAAGATCAGGAAAAAACCACTTTCATCGCCCACCAGGGGACGTACTGCTACAGGGTTATGCCATTTAGTTTGAAAAATGTAGGGGCGACGTATTAGAGGTTGGTGACCAAAATGTTCAAGGATCAACTCGAAAAAACCATGGAAGTATATATAGACGACATGTTGGTCAAATCAAAAATAAAGGAAGACCATATCGACCACTTGAGAGAAGCTTTCGACATACTAATGAGGCACAACATGAAATTGAACCCTGAGAAATGCGCCTTCGTTGTAACCTCGGTGAAGTTCCTCAGTTTCTTAGTATTGCAATGAGGCATCGAGGTCAACCCCGACCAAATCAAGTCTATAGAGGAAATACCAGAGAACTTGACAAGCAAGAAGCAGGTACAGAAGCTGACCGGCTGTATAGCCGCCCTGTCGAGATTCATCTCACGGTCCTCTGATAGGTGCCACAAATTTTTCGGCGTACTTAAAAAAGACAACAGACTCCAATGGAATTTTGAGTGCATCGACACCTTGAAGGAATTAAAGGCATACCTGTCCTCGCCCCCGCTGCTTGCTAAGGTGGAACTCAGAGAACGTCTCATCATCTACCTGGCTGTGTCTGATGTTGCGGTAAGTGCAGTTCTGGTAAAAAAAATAAAGGTACGCAATCTCCAATCTACTATATTAGTAAAACTTTGGTTGACGCTGAAACGAGGTACCCCCACCTCGAGAAGCTAGCCCTAGCCTTGGTCGTAGCTTCACGAAAGCTTAGACCCTATTTTTAGCGCCACCCCATCTTTGTGGTCACGACCTTTCCTCTAAGATGTATCCTGCACAAACCTTAACTATGGGGTAGATTGGCCAAATGGGCCATAGAGCTGAGCGAGCACGATATAACCTATCATCCACGAACGACAATAAAGTCGCAAGTACTTGCCAACTTCGTCGCTGACTTTAGTGCAAAAATAATGCCTGAAGTCAAAAGGGAAGCCGCAGTACTTCCACTAAAATACATGACCTATGGGTTCTGTATACCGATGGCACTTCTAACGCATTAGAATCTGGACTGGGACTCGTGCTCGAGGTCCCAACAGGCGAAATATTTTGTCAGTCCATACGGTGCCCTGATATGACTAACAATGAGGCCGAGTATGAGACTGTGATTGCAGGATTAAAATTGGCACTCAAGTACAGAGCACGGCGACTAGTCCTACGATGAGACTCTCAACTCGTCGTCAATTGAGTCATAGGGACTTTCCAAATCAAGGAACAATGGCTATAAAAATACCAGGCCGAAATATACAAACTACTTCCTGAGTTCGGCGAATGTCGGCTCGATCAAATACCTCGGGCGCAGAACATCGAAGCGGATGGTCTCGCCAAATTGGAGGTGGCCACTAAAAGTATAACCGGAGAAGGGAATGTGGTTACTCTCCTCCACTCGTTGATCGACCAAATCGAGGTACGCACTATTAACTTAACTTGGGATTGGCGCAATCATATAAAATGCTTAATAAATAAATAAAAATATTATTTATGCAATAAAATGATTAAAAATAATAATTTGGAATTATAAAAATATAAAAGTATATTTTGGCACAAATAGTATAGATGAAAAGCAATTATACGTGAATATAGGCTATTATTGTAAAATTAGGTAAATAGCTTAAAAATACAAATATAATTATATATAATAAAGGAAAAATATTATGAAACATATATGAGGATGAAAAATAGTAATTTGGATGATTAAGTCATCATAAAATAATTTGAAGGAATAATTAATAATTATTCAAGTAATTTAAATGCAAAAAAATCAATTTAAAGCACTACAAATTATGAAAAAATTATAGAAAATGCTTCATAGGTTCATAAACCAAATGATGATGCATATATACTATTTTGAAAGTATATATATACAATTGGAAAATGTGAGGGAAAAATTGGATATCAACAATACAAACATTGCATTTATATAAAGATTCGATTTGTTGTTTATCCCAAATTTTCTCGCATCAGATCCAAGAAAGCTCTCTATATTTCCACGTTCATTTGTCTTATACCATTGTCATAGAGAAGAATCATCCACCTTATTCAATCTTTGGGTTAATCATTCTCTCCATTTACATTTGTGTCATTTAATGTATTTATTGCATATCATTATTCTCATCACATTCATAGTAGTGCCATTTAATATTCATCACATTAAATAGGCTTCAACGCAATCCCACGTTATTTGTATAAACACGTTTCATATTTAGAATTTGTTATGTTTAATAAGGATTTACCCATTATCTTCTTATTTAATTAGTTTAACAAACGTGTATACGGTAAAATCGGAGGGTCCAATTTTCGGTCACTACGACGCTTCATAAGCACGTTGCTATAGGCTCGAGATTGTGGTCGAGATTAACACCCGAGGGATTATCAACATCCAGCCTCGGTGCATTGCAGATCGATAGTCATGGTGAAAAAGTGGGAGGCTCCCAAGACATGTGACTGAAGCTGACCTAGTCTATTTGGCTAGCTCAAGTCCGTACCGTAGCATTAAATGGTTGTACCATCCCCATATCTTTACAATAAATGTACTTGTATTATGTTGGGATTCCTCTCATATATAAAGAGAATCATTATCATTTTGCAAGGGATCGTATACTCAATATTAAATACACAAGAACATTCTCTCTGCTCTCTAACATATTCTCTTGATCTTATTACTTATATTTATTGCTTATATCCATTGTGTTTTATTTATTGTTTTTCATTTATTGCTCATCATTGATCATAAAGGGCTTCCATCAACGATATCATAACTGTTAATCCCCTATCGATTACTCATAGTCGAGCATCCGACTCGACCTCGAGGCCCGTATACGCCAATTCGAGGCCCCGATTTCCAGCCCTTCGGTTTAGTCATTATACTATCTACAAGCTCTTATCTCATTTTCTATTCTCTTACTTAGCATCTATTGCCTTAGCATAAAAATATATCACATATTTTTAGAACCACAAAATCAAATCTAATTGTAATACCATTTTCAAGTTAAATAGTTTGGCGCCCACCATGGGGCTAAAAATAATAGTGATTATTTTCTTGCTGGTTTTACTACATAACGCAAGTTATCTTTCACGCTTTTTCTTGTCCAAGATATTTTGATTTCAGGTCAAAATGTTTAACTCAGTAAATGACGCGAAAATAAACAACTTTGAAGACCATGCAAAAAAATAGTGTGGATGTTCCAGGTGTTGGTTTACCACCACGAAACCCTGAGAATGCACCAGAACTAATTCTCGCGGACGTGGTTTCATGCAACGCCCAACACATTGAAATAAGCTCCCACACCAATAGGAGCATACACCAAGAAGATCAACAAGAAGCTCAAAAAACCTCGGCTCAGAAAGAACAAGGGGTTAGACTTCACGTCATCTTTGAAATGTTGTAAGCACAACAACTGGCAATTGCTCAACTGCAAAGCCACGAAAAGACTCCCAGCACGGTAGCTCGGGAAACGGCTCCCCGAACCGAGCAGGTACCAGAAAGATCAAGCAAGAATGGGTCGGCAGCCAACCTGGCCATCATAAAGATGCTCGAGGACCTCACAAAGAGGACCAAGTCGGGCGAAAAGAAGATAGAAGCCAACAACAAGAAGGTAGAGACCTACAATTCTAGGGTCGATCAAATTCCGGGCGCACCCTCGATTCGGAAAGGTGTAGATTCGAAGAAGTTTTTACAAAATCCATTCCCATAGGAAGCGCCCCAAAACCCATTCCAAAGAAGTTCAGAATACCCAACCTTCTGAAGTAGAACGGAACCTCGGACCCCAACGAGCATGTCACTTCTTACACTTATGCAGTGAAGGGTAACGACATAAAGGACGACGAGATCGAGTCTGTCCTACTATAAAAGTTCGGAGAGACGCTTTCAAAAGGGGCAATGATGTGGTACCACAACCCGGCCCAAATTCGATAGATTCATTTGCCATGCTAGCAGATTCTTTCATAAAGGCACATGTTGGTGCCATCAAAGTAGCTACAAGGAAATCCGACGTCTTCAAAA